AGGTTAGTTGGCCCAGTGCTTGGCCTATAATACCACTAGGGTTTCTTCATATATAATATAGGGACGATAAAACCTATCTCAGAGATTGATGTAAAAGTATACAACTGAGTTAAGTAAAGCACCAGATGTCTGGCCAGCACCTAGTAGGAACTTCATAAATGAGAGCTTCCTTCTGTGCCTACGCCATTGTTGGAGTCTTCCACACAGTGGTTAGAAGCCATCAAATATCAGCATTAATGTAGGCCAAATTCAGAAGTTTCTGACTAATGAAAAGGCGACACATTGGCTCATAAGCAAAAGACTAGAGGTTTGAGTCCACCTAAGTCACTTTTGGGAAAAATAAATGTGTGTTGATTTTTTTTAAAAAAAATCAACCATCGAAAATCCTACGGAGTTGGGGGAAAATCAAATTGTACAGAGCACAGTCCTGCTTTAACATACTTAACATACAGAGTTGCTGTGAGTCAGAATCAACTCTTTGGCACATAGTTGTTTTAACTATACACCAACAGTTGGAATCTCCCTCAACTAGTAGTTTTCCATTACCCAGCTGGTAACCAGAAATGTTAAACTAAAGTTGAATAGCTAGCAGAAAGCAATACAGCACACTCTTCCTTATTCGCTTTCCCATTAACATCCCCCAGGAGCCCTGGTAGTGTCCTGGGTAAAGTGCTGGGCTGCTGATGAAAGGTTGGCCGTTTGAATCCACCAACTGCTCTGTGGGAGAAAGAAGAAGCGTTTTGCTCCGGTTAACCTCAGAAAGCTGATGAATCAGAATTAACTTGACAGCAGTGGATTAGGGTTTTGGCTATGCTACTACTTAAGGTATAATCCTTTTTCTTCTTTCGCCCATTATATAAAGTACTGCAGACAGACAAATCTGTTCTCAAGAGTTACTTTACTTACAGAAGAAGGGGGGTGGGGAAGATGTTTTTCCTTGCAATTGCTTCCTTTGATTTAATGCTTTTTCCTTGCAATTGCTTCCTTTGATTTAATGCTTTCTTTTAGCGTCAAAGGATTCTGCTGTAATTGAATATGTTCTTTGCTCCAGGCTCTGCACTAAGTGCTCACCTCATTCTGTCTTCATAACCACCTTCACAAGCCTTTCTGCTGTTAACTTCATGTGATAGATGGTTAAGGCCCTTGATTTCAGGGCCAGCAAGTGGCTGGACTTAATTTAAACTCAATCCTGATTGAGTAGGAAGCCCAGGCTCTTTCTTCTTTGGCTCTGCCTTATCTCTCTCTCTCTCTCTCTCCCCTTCCCTCCCTCCCTCCCTCCTCTGCTTCCCTCTCTCCTCTCCCCTCTCTACTCACCCCTCCTCTCTTCTCTCTCTCTCATGAACAATGTCAAAGAAAGTTTAAAAATGATCTGAGGTAAAACTAATGAGGAAAATAAGCCACATACATTGCTTCCCAGATCTGCCAATTCATGAATGTCTTTCCTTAAATGGTGGTAATATGTTGCTGAGTGGGAACTGGACCTCTCCGCGAGTTTTCAGAGGGAGTAAAATGTGTGAGAGGAGAATCACCATCCTTCTCCCGTGGAGCAGATGGTGGATTGTTTTAAGTATCCATATGATCTCATATGGTCACAAAAACCAACTGCATTATTCCTTTGTCATGTTGACTAGTCTTCAATAGAGTCCACTTCCTCCCACCTCCCTCTTGTGGTTCTAGGCTTGCAGCTTATATTTCTTTAGATGCATTTTGGTTCCCAGGCCTTTCATTTCCTGGGAACCTAGCGCTAGTCGTCCTCAGGCCCGGATCTGCCCACTGTACCTTCCTCTGGCCGCTCGCTCTCTATCTGCGCCACCACCTCGGTGCCCTCGTCGCCGGAGCGGACCTCGTCCACGTCCACCACGGTGGCGGCGGGCGCGCGGGGCTCCCCGGGGCTCCGCGCCCGCCGGGATCCTGGCCGCTCAGGCCGTGCCTCACTGCGCGCGCGGGCCGCGCTCCCCTTCTCCGCCTTCCCTCGCTTGTTCTCTCTGTGGGGCGACCTGCCACCTCTCTCGCGGGCCTCCTTGGAGGAGCTCCGCGCTCTCTTCTCCATGCTTAGAGGATTAGACTGCAACCGAAACCCCAGGTAGTGGAGCAACCGGGGGCCTATAAGGACCGTCGGGTTGGGGGCAGGGCAGGGGCAGGAGTGGGGATGGAGGCGGTCTCAGGGCTTCGTCATGCTTCTTGCCTCCCCAAGGGAGTTGGGAGGGGACTCGCTGACCCCAAGACTAGGAGCAATGTAGAGTGACAGCTTGTTGGTTAGGACATGGAGCTGAAAGATTTGCGTCTATAAATTTAAAGATCCAGTTACCTGGAATTTCCAAACCTAGTTCCCTGCTATGGAGTCAACTTGACCCCCAGCCAGACTGTATGAGGAAAAGACTTACTCCACAGGGTTACAAGGCTGTGGTCTACTGAACCCCCTTAGGAAGCCGTCCTGTCTGGCTGCCTCATTGCTCTCCAGTGGAGCTCCTGGAGGCTGTTAACTGGGAGCCTTTTGGTTAGCTGCTAAATGCCTTGAGCTAGCATCCCCTGCCAGAAGGGCTGCCTGACCTACCACAGGGGGTCTACAAGTCCCTGCCAAGCTAATAGTTCTTCGATTTATTATTTAGAAAAATCTTGTCCTGGTGTCATGTCAGAAGATACAATAGGTCATCTAATAGGAGTGATTTATGGTGCATTAATGACATTAGTTAAAAAGCATTTGGTTGCTGTCAGTGGTTCAGACTACTCTGGGGACAAAAATATAACAATCTGCTTCGGTAAAATTTACACCTTTTTTGAGGAAATGTCAAACTGCCTTCAAGAGTGGTTGTACCATTTTACAATCCCAACAACAACATATAAGACTTCCTATCTCGCCACATCCTCTCCAACATTTATTACTTGCTGCCCTGCTAAACTTTGCCATTGCTAAGATGCTATGGATAAGATGCTATCTCATTGTGGTTTTGATTTGCATCTCTCTTATTGCCAGTGATTTTTGAGCATTTCTTCATGTGTCTGTTGGCTATGCAAATGTCCTCACTGTGAAAATGTCTTTTTCCATGTCTTTTGCCCATTTTGTAACTGGATTATCAGCCTTTTTCTTCTGGAGGCCCTGGAGTATTTGTAAGCTTTTGTTCTGACACCCTTGTCTACAATTTCATATTTCCAAAGGTTTATTCCCAGTCAGTAGGTTTTCTTTGCACCCTGTTGGAAAAAAAAAAGGTTTTGATGACCTTCTTTAGAAGGTCACATTCATCTATTTTATCTTCTTCAGATTGTGCATTTCTGGCTGTATTTGGCACTCTTTATACAGAGACTAAGCCTTCTTAGTTTGGTCCAAGTTTGCCTTTATGAACTCTATAGATTTGGGCTTTATTCTCAGGTCTCTGATCCACCTTGAGTTGATTTTTTGTATTTGTGTGTGTGAGCTTTCTGCAGTTAGCAGTCCAATTCTGGCAGCACCATTTGTTGAAAAGGTAGTCCTTTCCTCATTTGATAGGTTTTCTTTCCTTGTCAAATATCAGTTGCCAATATAGACAGCTTGGTCCATTTCTGGGTTCTCAATTCTGTTCCATTGGTCTATGTGCTTGTCATTGTACCAATACCATGCTGTTTTGGTTACTACTACTATGTAGTAGGTCTTCAGGTCATGGGGTGCTATGCCTCCCACTTCATTTTTGTTTTTCAGAAGTGCTTGGCTTATCTGGGTCTCTTACCCCTCCAACTAAACTTGACAATTTATCTTTCAATCTCTCTGAAAAAATAAACTTGGTATCTGTATTGGGATTATATTGAACATGTAGATTGCTTTTGGTAGGATAAAATTCCATATGATCCAGCTAATCCATTGCTTGGAATATACCCTGAGAAAATGAGAACTAAGGCACAAACAGAAACTTGTACTCCAGTGTTAATAGCAGCATTATTCACCATTGCAAGAACATGGAAACAGCCTATATGTCCAACCACAAATGAATGGATTGAGAAATTATAGTACATTCATACAATGGAATACTACACAGCACATAAGAGCAATGATTTTGTAAATTACTACATAACTTGAGAGAGACTGGAACACATTATGCTAAGTGAACTAACTCAGTCCCATAAGGGCAAATACTGTATTATTGTAGACTGTGTATGAGAATCCAAGGAGTGGGGAGGGTAGGAGCAGAGGGATGACAATGGGGCAATGTTTAACCATAGGCTCTCACAATTTATACAAACTTTGTAAGTAAACCAGTATAAAAAAATTTATCTAAAAAATTTATATATGTATTGGGAAACCAAAGAAAACACCAAACAAACAAAAAAAAAACCTATTTACTCCCTTAATCCTTTTTGAAGAACATTCTCTATCTCACAGGGTCCCTATTCAGTGGGTTGGAAGGTAAAAATAAGGGGTCCTGATGGCAAAGTGGTCAAGCATTTGGCTGCTAACCAAAATATTGCTGGTCTGAACTCACTAGTTTCTTGGAGTATGGCCAATATGGCCAGCTGTCTCCATACAGATTGTTGTTGTTGTTATGTGCTATTGAGTCGACTACAACTCACAGCAACCCTATGTATAATAGTTCTGAACCCTGCTCTATCTTGAGCCAATCTCTCTGTCTCCAGCACACCTTCCCCCATCCCATCACCCCAGTTACCCTATCAGTCCATCTTATCTAAGGTCTTCCTATGCTATACTGTTTCTCCACTTATCCAAGGATTATGTACTTTTCCAAGGACTAGTCCCTCCTGACAACATGCCCAAAGTAAGTATGTGAGACAGAGCTTCCAAATCCTTGCCTTCAAGGATCAACGTGGTTTCATTCTTTCCAGGGCAGACCTGTTTGTTCCTTTGGCAGTCCATGGTATATCCATACAGATTATAGCCTTGGAAACCCAAGGGGCAGTTCTAATTTGTTTAATAAAAAGGCTAGAAATTGGAATACAACAGAAGGTACCTGGTTGGTTATTTGGTTTAAAGTAGAATTAAGTCTTCTCCGAAACCCTCCTTTTTTTCCTTAAGTGTCTTCCCGAGGTTTCCTGTTCCACTCCCTTCAATGTCATATCTCTGTTCATAGTAAGCTCACAATGAGTCAAACTCGACTTGTTGGCACAACAACAATGATGTCATACTTTATATATTGACCTTCTAGGACTTTTTATAATTTTAAAAAAGAAAAGAGACTCATTTATACTGCTTCTGCTTTCTCTTTTTCTCCCCCCTCCTCCTTTCTTGATTTCAATTTAAAGCAATTTCTTGCAGGAGAGAAAAACAATGAAAAAGATCTTACTGGATGTCAGGACTCATATTACGTGTCTATCTGCACCTTTGCTATGGGACCACTGGTAATTTTATTGGTTTTGGTAGAGGTTTTTTTATTTTTGGTAAGAAAAATTTGGATTTAGAATTAGCTAGCAGGACTCAGTTTAGATGATCCCAATTTTTTTTGCAACATCTAAGGCATTATAGTTAGGAACAAGTTGAACATAGGCCTTCTCTCCATCAGACCTAATCAAGGTGTTGACCTTGGCCACATCAGTGTCATAGAGCTTCTTTACAGCTTGTTTGATTTGGAGTTTGATGACCTCAATGTCTACAATCAACAAAAGGGTTTTGTTATCGTTTATCTTCTTCATGGCTGTCTCAGTAGTCGGGGAAACTTGATAATGGCATAGTGGTCAAGTTTGTTTCACCTGGAGGCTCTCTTCAGGGGTATTTGGTCAGCCTTTAGAGTCTAAGTGTCTCAGGCTGCTGTAAGGTGGGTGACATGCGGATCTTCTTATTTTTTTCTGTGGCCCTTCAGGACTGCCTTCTTGGCCTTTAACACCTTTGCTTTGGCTTCAGTTTTGGAATGGGTGGGGATTTGCTTTCAGCACCATTTTTAAAGGAAAAAATAGAAGCACTGGCATGTTATTTGACTTCATTTTTTTTCCCACTTGTAACAGTAATAGAAGTGCTTACTTATAATAGGAATCTGTTGGGATGATGAATGACAATAATAATATCTGAGAAACCTCACCACATTCCACAGTAATAAGGTCAAATTGGCAAAGGTGGAGGGATTGGGGAGGTATTGCTGGGTGAATGTAGGAGTCTCTAACTGGCTGACCTCATTCTTCTCTTGTTTAAGATGAAGAAATTTTAATGATGATTCTGTTTTCTTTTAGATTCCATTTTAATTGAAAGTGTTGGTCATCCCTTTGTTGTAATTATTATGTGTGCACATTTTAAAAGTCTTAATACTTTACTCCTTGTTCGGCTTTTTAAGCACCTGACGTCTGTGAGAACTTATTACTAGAAGAAAGGGAAGACCAATTAAAATTGGTGACACTTGAGATTATGTTTTGGAGACAAAAGGCTATGCAGTATTTCAAAGCTTTCTAAATTTTTCTAAGTATTCTTACAGTGTTTTGAATTTATATTTTATTTTTGCCCTTTTTTAATAGGTTTGCGTACAGAGTTCATATCCATTGTGTTTCACGCTATTCTTCATTCACATCGTGCTTCATACAATCATTCTCATGTGTTATGTTTTATAAAATTAATCATCATTGTAGTATGTGCATCATTACCCTGTCTTTTCAGCTTGCCAATGGATCTTTCTCATTTCCTTTACCCCCTCCCTCCACCCACCTTTCATGCCTACCCATCCTCACCCCTTCTCTCCCACCCCCTTCCCTTCCTGAATCCCCAAAACATGTTTTACTAGTTATCCTTCTATTTTTACAATGGTCTTATGCAGTATTTGTCCTTATTAGACTGAATTAGTTCACTATGCATAATGCTCTCCAGCCTCTCCCAAGTTAGTACAATTTTTCAAAATTGTTTTTATATTCATATGAATAAACAAAGAAGTGTTGTTGTATATAAATTACTTAATGGAAACCCTGGAATTTGTAGGCACTGGAAAAATTGGTAAACCTAATAATTTTAATACTGGATGCTACTCAAAGTGTCCATGAATATGGACAAGTAATTGAGGTAGAGGTAAGCTGGCAGGGACACCTCCTATGCCCCAGCGCTGGTTGTGCAACCTCCTCGCACCCCTAGAAGGTGAACTCTAACTCAGGTAA